AACTCCAGGTATTGGTGACTAAAAACGAAAAAGGATAGCGAGCGGCAATACGATATGTAATGTGGCTTTGTTGTATTTTGGATAAGCATTTCCTGCAGCATTTCCGCCAGATTAGACTTTTTATACATCAGAGAACTAATTTGAGCGCTAAGTTCTTGAACCCACATCTTGAGAAAGGTATCCTTCTGTAAATACAATCAAAATTTTAAAGTAAATTCGGTGCAGTCTTGGCAATTTCGCTATTGCCATCATATTATAGTATTGTTCAGACAAAAATTATCACTGCATACTTATGGCACGCGCAATATATGTTATCCTTAGCAAAAATAGCCGCTGCATCCTATTAAATAAGCAAAGTCAAGTAGTAATTCAGTATCTCGTATTTCCCTTGTCGGGTTTTTATTACTGTTTAAAATTGGTTTTGTGATCGGTTCAAGATTCAGTAGTTTTAATTTTCGCTGAGAAAAAAAAATAAGCCATATACTTACTCCTTGTTTCACGCTAAAACACACATGATAATGGCATTCGAACCCGGATCCTCCCGCAAGCTAACAAATAGTAGAAGCAATTTGAATCAAGTCCAAATGACGCGATTGGTACATTTGTACAGATTTCTTTTCGCTAGTTACAGAGTGACATTTTTGGAAATTTTTATTGGGCTTAACTCATAATTAGGGCTCGCAATCTCATGTAAATGCATGTTTTTAGTGGGCATGTTCAAATCGAAATAGTTATCTTTACGAATCATGAAATTTCCTTTAAAAAGGCATTCAATCGTTAGTGCATATTTTTCAGTAAATGCATGATTTTGCATATTTTGCTAAAAATATCCGTTTTTTTCATCTTTATTGCGCATATTTTAGTACATTTTACAATAAATGCAAGGTGCGGCTCCGCACTAGGGTTGACAGATTTTTTATGCGGGAAATCAGTACATTAGAATTTTTCATGCTAAAAAAATCAATACTTTTCAGTACATTTTTATTCAAAGCAAAATTATGTATGTAAGTAACAGACAATACTTTAAAACACCAGAGTACATGTTTTTAACAATATTTTGGTATGTAAAAAAACATAGTTCATAAAAAAAAAAGTGTCATTGATTTTAACATGAGTGTACACAGAAGCCAATAAATTATTTTATATTTATGACATTGTTGAATAGCAATAATGAGATCATCTCCATCTTCAGTCTTTAAATAGTCAAAGAATTATATACATTTCATTTTAAAATTACTTTTAATTTGAAGTTCACTTTACAAAATTTTAATTAGAAGCCTGTTTCTCTCTTTGCGCCATGAATCGAACTTTATACTCTCAGATGCTTCGTTTGAGTGTGGTATTAAATTATTAAATTATTATTAATTATTATTAAAAAAAATACATATTTCAAACTGTGAAAACGTACCACTATTTAAGGACTTCATATATATTTCCTCATGGCTTAAATTCATTTTTTCAACTACGCAAAAACTTTGAAAGACTAAGAACTCGCTGAAAAGAGTATCTAACTCTATGTCTTATATGCAAAACTCTTTTCAAGGTCAGTAAATTGTGGAAAAAGAATTGTAAGTTATGGGCAAAAGCCGTTCGAATATCCAAATTCGTTGATATTAAACTGTAAGTTATTTTCGAGATAACTAACAACACTCGACAAAAAAACGCCAGCCTTATTTTTAGATAATTTAAGCTCCATCATATTGTCGTAGCTGGAATGTAACGACCCGGCGATATGCCCATAAAGCGATTGATCTTTTCATTGTATTATTCCTTTCTTGGTCATATCAAACATTATCTGAAACATGTCAACTATAATTAAATTATTTTCTTCTTACTTTTTACAGTACAGTTTAAGGAAGTTCCAACGTTATGTAAAAACCTTAAGAAAATCTTAAATTATTTGGTTGAAATTCAGTACAAATTTTGAAAAATCAGGACATTAGCGTACTGATTGAAGAAATGAATAAAATCAGTACAAGAGTTGAAAAATCAGTACTGTACTAATAAAATCTGTACGTCTGGAAACCGTACTCCGCATTGAATGTGTCCCACGCGGTGGACATGGGCGCTTCGCTCAGGGAGATAAAAAGCAAAAATTACCGAAATTTATCACTCGAAGGCTAAGCAGAGGTGGAACCGTACAGGATCGTACAGGATTACCCGGCACTTCTGGGTGTTGTACGACCCACTTAGACCAAAGATCTCTTAGGAATGAGCAAAGAAGATACCTACTAACTTACTGCATTGTGCACAGGGCACTGGTCCGTTGGTGTAGTAACTGCGATGGCTCTGGCTCAAGAGAGGCAGTCGAATACTTCCTGTGCGAGAGTCCTTGCAAGGATGAGGCTAAAGACACTCTGCAGCCATTCCTGCAGAATGTTTTAGAGTGAAGCTGCCTCTCTCTGTATCACTTACTGAAATTCATTAAAACCACCAAATAGCTGTAGGTTGTGCAAGTTGTGGAATAAAAATGGCAAACTTTCTCAACTGTCTATTTACATACGTTTGTATCTGACTGATTGATTATAACCTAATTTTATACATATATATGTATTGTATTTTGAAGTGAATTGTTTTCGTTATTTTCGTGTCAAAATACATGTGTTTTTTTATTTTTGTACCGACAATAAAATATTAGGAAAATATTTTTAATTGCATATTTTACTTGTTTATAGCGCATATTTTTGAAGTGCATATTTAATGCGCATATTTTCGATTTTTTAGTGCATGAGATTCTGAGCCTTACTCATTATCTATAAAAATGTCTAGACGAGACCATTCTGTGATTGGTCAAACAAAATTTTTCACAAGTTCCAAGATTTGACGTATCGAAATATAGCATCGATGAATATCGATGTGTGGTATAAAAACATCGATATTTTCTATGCAACGAATGAAAATATCAACAGTTTCATTAAACTAAAAATATACAACAAGAAAATGAAGCAATCGCAACTTCGATAAACGTGCAATGTATTAGTTGATTTAAACAGTTACAAATCCCAGCTTTTTCTGTTCTTTTTAGAAGGCTTGGAAACAAATTTTCGGAAGGTACTGTGGTGGTCCTATCTTTATTTAATTAATTTAATCCTTTTGTTTATAAAGGCAGAGAGGATTCCGTCGTTCAATAGGCAGCTAACGAGTTGCCGAAATATTCATAGGCAGCCGTGAGGTTGCCGCAATGTTTGAGAATTGAAACACAAGTTGTTGTCTTGATATTTCTAATCTTATTTTATTGAACAAACTTAAAGCTATTTATACACAACGTATTTTTAAAGCCCCACCTCTTTTCCAGTGCTTTATGATTCAGCATTCCAATTTGCAAAGCAACCAATCAAAACGCAGGGCATAACGGGTCGCCGAAATATTCTGCTTGTACTGTGGCGACGTCGCCTCAAAGCGTCGGGCAATGCAGTAGGCATATATGCAGAGAACATAACGATTATAAGAAATAAAATTAAATATTGCTCCATAATTATTACTGAACAATGGAAAAGTTGTTTTCGTCTCGCGGGACGATTATTTCAAGACGAATATTACTTACGTCTTCTCATAATAATTACATGGACTTTTTTATTTTTTTCGTCTCTCGGGACGTTTATATCAAGACGAATATTATTTACGTCTTCTAATAATAATTATATGGGCTTTTTTATTTTTTTCGTCTCTTGGGACGTTTATTTCAAGACGAATATTATTTACGTCTTCTTATAATAATTATATGGGCTTTTTATTTTTTTCCGTCTCTCAGGACGTTTATTTCAAGACGAATATTATTTACGTCTTCTCATAATAATTATATCGGCTTTTTATTTTTTTTCGTCTCTCGGGACGTTTATTTCAAGACGAATATGATTTACGTCTTCTCATAATAATCATATGGGACTTTTATTGAATTAAAACTTCTTTATCGAGTTCGGAGATTTAGGTCCGTTAATTTATCTATTTTCAAGTAATTCTATGGATTTTCTGTAGTTAAATGAAATAAATAAATAAACTATAGCTTAGCACAGATACGCTAACGGCCCTTAAAGCGTTAAATATATTTATATGTGACACGTAAAGTTAAAAGGGACCCACGCTCAGAAAAAAAGGTTTCGAGAAAAACGACTTTGAAGTTTACCAAGTTGATTTTGATGCTTCTGAACGTTTTAATGGATTGAAATTCGTTACTCGGGGGTTTTCGGGGTCGCTGATTACGAATCGGATGCTAGTGGCTAATGGCGGATCCAATATGGCGGATGACTTTTTTAAAAATTGATCGGAATCGCTTGAAACTCATTACCCGGGGGTTTTTGGTGTCGCTGATTACGAATGCGATGTTCATTTTTTTTAATTCAAAATGGCGGATCCAATATGGCGTGAAAATTTAAAACTTGTTCGGATTCATGTGAAACTCAAATATGTCGTTGACATCGAAAACGAGGTCAGTGATTACGAATCCGATGTTCGAAAACCCCCGAGTAATGAGTTTCAAGCGAATTTGATTAATTTCAGAATAGTTTGTCAGATTTGATTTTTTTGTACTTTTTTTGTGTGAAGGTACCTTACTTTGAAGTGAAATTGAGAAAAAACTAATGCAGCTAGAAAGCTGCGGTTTATTGCATTGGAAAGAGTGGCCCGTTTACTATAAGAGTCGATGAAAAAGTGAAAACCGATTTTTTCTGACCGTAGGTCCCTTTAACTTTACGTGTCACATATATAAATATATATATACATATATATATTAAAGGCTTTCCTTTTACGTGGTTTTGGTTCTTGAAAAGGGGTGCCAGATGTTAGAAAATCAAATGCAAATAATCGAGTTCGGAGATGTTTACGTAAAATATTTAACCCACCGTCACCACATCTGCACCGAGAATTGACGAGATTGGTATGTAGAAGTGCAATACGG